CCCGCCGGGCGCGACGGCCTCAACGCCTGCGGCCCCGGCACCAACTTCAGCGCGGCGGCGCGGCCCTGGCTGGCCCTGGTGCAGCGCGGTGGCGGTTGCACCTTCGCCGACAAGATCCGGCTGGCGGCCGAGCGCGGCGCGCAGGGGGCCGTCGTCTACAACTACGGCGGCACTGGCACCGTGCTGCTGCCCATGTCGCACCCGGGTGAGGCCCCTCCCGGCCGGGCTGGGGCTGGGGGTGGGGAGCGAGCGAGCCACCCGCCCGCCTGCCTGAGGGGGCACATTAAGTCGCTTCAAAACGGTCTGTCACGTCTGTCAGCGGGTGGGGGATGCCTCATCGCTTCCTAGGCATAAGGGGTCTGCACCTGGCCCGGTCGCAGGTGGAAGGATGAATAGGAGGGAAGGGGCTGGGCTGTAGCTGGGCCCAAAAAGAGAAGGGATGAGCTTGGCTCTGGGTGTGAAGTGAAAGCAGGAGCCGCAGGGGTCGCCTGCGAGTGGAGAAGTAGCAAGCAGGGGCAGCTGCTGCCAAAGCTGCCGGCTGAAAGGGGATGCTGGTGTCTGGGAAGGGACCCGATTGCACAGGGGAGGACGGGGTTGCAAGTGCCTGTGGGGGGACCTGATTACACAGGGGGTGGAGACGAGGTGCATGTGTGAGATGTGATTATACGGAGGGGATGGGTGGTGCTGGTGTTGGGGAGAAGTGGGGAGAGGGTCTCTTGACTGGGCAGCGAGCCACCTGAATGTGAGCTGGTGCAGGCTGGGCGCGTTGCTGAACTTGAAAACCCTGTGGGCAGCTGTGAAATGGGCAGGGATGCCTCTCCTTTCAGCTGCTCTTTGGGAAAGAGAAGAGCTGCTGAAGCAGGAACTGGGACCGCTTCCTGGTGAGCACCACACAGAAGCTGAAAGTGAGAAAGGAGGCATGGGGTAGCAGAGTGACTCCCTTCTGCTTTTGCAGCACATGCTTAAAAAGTTGTACTGGGGGAGTGATCGGCAGTGAACACCCCACGTTTCCTGCTGCTGAGTGGGAGGCGATTGCTGCTGGTACCTGGGGATATATTGGATACCCACCGAGAGGGTACAGCCCCAAAGCCCACCTTGGGAGCACGCGCTGCCCTTCCTCAGCAAGGTGTTGGCCCTTGGCAGGTGGCAGCCGTTCTGGACTGTGTTCACCTCCTGCCTCGCTCTGGTCCTTTGTGAAGTGTCTTGATTTTGAAGTACAATAAGAGATGGGATGCTTTTAAGCTGACACTCCTGTGACTCTTCCCTGTACCTGCCTAAACTAGTCAGCTTTGCTGTTCAAGGTGCTTCTGTTATTGAATTTTCCTTGATTAATGACTAACAGTGTTAGGTACGTGAAAAGCTAGAGCAGCTTAAACCTGAGCAGGCTGGGTTGGGAGAGACTGTCATGGCTGCACTTGCCCGGTCACAAGGACGATTGTGTGAATTGTGTGTGTGGGGGGTGGGGGCTTTAGGTGACTATACTCTGACTTGGCATGTCACTCAGCCAGGCCCTATGGGCAGAGGGGCTCTGAAGCCAGCCCCTCTCCTCTGCGTTTCTGAGGCATGATTTTTTTTTTTTCCCTGTCCAGTGCAGTAATAAGCTCAGAAATGGAAGCAGTGTTGGTCCTGCACTTGGCTCCCTTGCACTTGTTCCTGTGCCCCGCAGTTTCAGCTTGAATGGACTGCGTGCTGTCTGCAGTACGTGTAGAGCTGTAGAAGCTGTGTTCCTTCCCCTTCCCATGAAAGCCTCCTACTCGTCTGTGGTGCAGGCACACTCCCTACCTTGCAATCAGAGACTGAGCAGAGTTTGATCATTGTGTTCGTCCATTCAAGCCAATACATTAGTGCAAATAGTTTACAAGCAAGAGCCACCAAGGATCATGGTTTAAAAAAAAAAAAAAGGAAGCAGTGTTCTTCAGACCCCAGCACTCTAAAATTGTAACAATAGTAATTTGGCAAGTTAAGCCATGCAGCTGTCCTAGCAGGACACGGAGTTAGTGAGCTTGCCAGAAGCGTGCAGCACATCTGGGGAGAGGTGGTGATAGTTTGAAAGAAAAGTTTTGTCAGTTCTTCAGAAAACTGTTTCCCAAGCATAACTTGAAGCGCATGGCTGTGTGCAAGCCCAAGGAAAGAGATGTGTAGCTTTTTTTTTTTTTTTTTTTTTT